CATAACAGCCGCACTCACACTTGCACTCGCACTCACACACACGCAATCTCTCTTTTGAGTGACATTTTCAGTCAGCAACGCAGCCGCAACCACTTGCTGGTCTTGGGTCGCGCCGTCTGCTGCTGTCACCCGACCATGGACAATGTTCTTGTTGTTTAGCCGTTGTCATTGCGTGCTACACGTTGCTGCTGCTGCTGCTGCAAAGTTAGTTGGCGCTGCGCTAGCTGCGCTTAGCTGTGTGGGCTGGCAGCGCTGCTTGCTTGCTTGCTTTTGTATTCCTATTAACAGTTATTTTTGGAAGGTACACACTCATCCTCTCTATGTTCCTCTCTCTCTATCTATCTCGCTCTCCCACACCCTGCGTATGAATGTGTCTGTGTGCTTGTAAGCTTTTGTTTGTATGTGCGCGCTCTGTGTACATTTTGAGTTATGTATTCAATTGTTATTACGCACAATAGCCCATTTGAGCCACCCAACTAGCCCAGCACCCACCCATAAAATAGTGGCTTCACTTACCACGTATTGGTATTCTATCGTCAGGACTAGACATTTTGCATGGACCTGTAAGACACGAAAAGAAAAGGAAAAAGATTTTTATTTAGTCAGTTAGTCAGCAAATAAGGTGCTGCCCAATTGGAGTTGGACAATAGACCAATTGGAATAAAGTACTGATTGCTGACAGATTCACTTGGTATGTACATACATATGTATATGCGGCTCAATTAGAAAATAATAAAACTACATATACCGAAAGCCAAATGAATAATTTAGTCATAAGCTTTAATCCTCCCAAGCCGCTCATGCGATTTTTCTTTTGTGACAAATGGAAAATTCCATCAGAATGTAAAAACCCCAATTGGGCAGCAACAATGCCAATCAGAAGTTGTGAATGATCAGACGACGAATTGGAAAATCAGCTCTATTTCCAGTTGCTTACAAATTCATTGAAAAAACATAACCACATATACATACATACATCAATACACATGCAGACACACAAACGCTCCACAGTGTGAGACAGATTAGCGCAGCCACAACAATGGACAACAACAATAAGTGGAAGAAGCAGGCGAATGAGAATAGCAGACGTCACATTCTGATAAGCAAACCCTAAACGATCAGGGCGAGAGTGAGGGAGAGCGAGCGAGCGAGCGCGCATTAATGATAGTCCGTTAGTCTGCTTCGCCTGCTGCTTCGTCTTTCGTTACTCTGCTTCTGCTTTGCACTTGGCTCAGATTTCGGAAAATTTTCTGAATTGATAATCGTTCATTTTTGCTTTCTTCTTCTTCTTTTTATATATTTATATACGTATTGTGTTGTCGATATCTCTTGCTAATTTTGAATGCTAGCTGAATGTTTKCCACCCCCTTCCCACACACACACAGAGTCCCAGCACATATGCAGCCCACCAAAACACACCTCAATTCACCACGATTCCAGCTGTGAATTGGAAATGTTGAAAACATGCAAATCGCCAGCGTAAGTGAAATAATGAATTGTGTGACGCCGGCGTGGGGGTATTTGCAGCAGGTGGAACTAGTCGAATTGGGTCACAGGTGCAAGGTGTAGCGCGCAGCAGGTACAGTTAGACGCTTGTCCCAATGACCTTCACAAATGCAAACAATATGAAAATCCAATCGGAGAGTCCAGTTTAACTCCTGCGCCACACACACACCTACACACATGCACACACACACGCGCACGATTTCCGCTCACTAATTACAAAAACAAACAGAAGACGAAAACAGCAAGTGAATAAAGTATATAAAGAATAAACACAAAAATATACTTGCATTAGTATCTGTATGTGTGTATTTACATATGTATGTATGTATGTTTGTATGGGTATATAATACAAAAACAATCAACAATAAAAACAACGGACGCCCCAAAATGACAGTCCCAAATGAGAAATGTTAACCAATCCAATTGGAATTTGTCATTTCTTCGATTCGTCTTTCGCCTCCACTGAACGAACGAACAGTAAAAGGTTGTTAATTAAATGCAATTAATATATTCAATGTTAGAAAAGCAATATAAATAGAATCAATCAAATGTCAAATGTATTAATCAATATAAATGCAATTAAATCATCCAAGTGCACCAACAACAACAAAAACCACTGAACTGAATTGCACTTTATGCGTGCTTCAAGGAAACGTTCAGTTGGGTATGAGCGACGAGCAGATGTCCTTTAATTACTTTAAGTAAGCAAATTGCACTAATTTTCTCTTCCTTTTTTTGTAGAGGATATATACACAATATCGAATAATATACATATCTAATAACAAAACGTACATATTTGTAACCTTATAGATACATATACATATCTAACAATTACGGTTTGATTTAAACTGGTTTTATATTTATATTTAAGGGCATACTTAAATTAGATCGTTACACAAAATATATGTAATAGTACAGGGTATATGCACGTGTGTCAGGTGCTGCAGTTAAATACCAGAACTCTCATCCTCCCAATTGCTCCCCTCCCGCTCTTTCTCGCACACTCTCTTTCTGTTAAATGTAGAACGTAGAAGAATTCGCCGAAGTCTCGCAGCAAAAACAAGCACACACACACACACAAAGAATGCATATATGTACATACATATATGCATTTATTCATATATATGTACATGTATACTTGCATGTGTTTGTGTGTAAATGGCTTTTGCATTTTACATTTCTGGTTTGCATAAACATTTGGTGCACACTCAAATTTTTTTGGCGTGTGGCATCACAAAACAATTCGCATTCCAATTAGAGCAAATTACACGCATTTCGCTCTCGCTTGCCTTCTCTTTCTCGCTGTGGGGAACGCGCTAACAGGCAGCAGAACAAAACCAAAACCAAAAACAAAAACAAAAGCGCAACAAGCGGCAGCGTCAACGCAGTGCGTAATGAAATGACAAGTAAAAAGAAACCAAATGACTTTTGCGCTCTTCACTCCAATTCGTGTTGTTGCTGAAAGCCAATGTACAAAAGAAGTGACCGACGTCAGCGGCAGTTTCGGCGTCATCGTTAACGCAGCCTCTAAGAGCAGACCCAAAATGCGCGTCGCACAAACACAAAGCCAATTGCTCTAAATGCTATTGTTGTTGTTCTTGTTGCTGCTATGTTAGCTGTTAATTTACAGCAAAATCTTACATACAGATGTCAATTGAAGAAATGCTGCCGACGCCACATGTTGACGTCGACCAAAGCTTAAACGATGCGCTGCCAGATATGCGCTGCCGCCATTGCCAGTGTTGATAACCAAAATAACAAAGCGAACCTAACCAGTTCAATGCGCTTAGCATTGCTCCAGCTGCTGGAGCGAATGCGGCTCGATGCTGTTGGGTGCTTTTTTTGTGCGTTAACAATGGCAGCGGCTGCGGCAGAGGCAGCAGCAGCAGCAGTGCTGCCAGCTTCATTACAAACTTTACAACAACAACAAATAACGAGAAGCGAAAATCGCCAAATACATACAGAACAACAACCAGAGGAACAACGCTGGTGGTGGCAGCAGCGGCAGCAGCAACAGCAACAGCACTTCATTTAGCACGCACACACTTGTTACATAAATAACGGCGAAATGAGTGTGAGTAGCAGAAGGAAAAGAAAACAAGACGAAAAAGAAGTCGTCGTCATGCTGAACCTGAGAAACGACGGCTGCTCAACGCACTCACACACACATAAACGCATGCCTCTGATCTAATAAGAATTTTTTGAATTGGACAAAAGCAAACACACACACACACGCATGCTTACATACATACATACCTCTTCAAAGTGGCGCGAACTGCTCCGACTCGGGCCTATAAATGTTGTTGATTTTATTTTTTGCTGTTGTTATTCTTGTTGTTGCGCTGCTGCCAACGCGCGCGGCAACGCACACGCACACGAACGCACGCTTTTCCAAAACTTGCGATGTACGAAACAAAAACAACTTTTCACAATGCGAAAATTATTATTTAAAAAAAATAAATAAATAAATACTCTGGCAAAAAAAATGTAAAAGCAACACAGAAACTAAAGACAACGGCTGCTTGCTCTTCCACACTCTCTTTCTCGCTCGCTCGCTCGCCACTAGAGGAGCACACATATGCACAAAATGTATGCGTATGCGTGTGTGCGCATGTATGTGGATGTGCGCACACAAACACCAGAGCAGCGACAACGACGAATTCACGACTTTTTATATGCGTGTATGAGTGCGTGTGTTTTTTTACTTTATTTCATTTTTGTCACTTCACATATTCACAAACAGATTCGCATTTTTCTTTTTATTGTACTAGTATTTAGTACTAACACTACTGAAATGTACAAACGTACATGGTATGTATGTACATCTGCTGCTTATTTTTTTATTTTAATTTTTTGCTCTCTTCGTTTTGTTGTTGTTTCGCCCACAATGTGATCAGCTTTTAGTTATATTTTTCGCACTTGCTTTTCACCACTGCGACATTTGTTGTTGTTTTGTTGCTGCTGTTGTTGATACTGCTGCCACTTTACTGCACTCGTAATTCGTGGGGTAAAACATAAAAAAAAAACAAAAAAAAAAATTGACAACAAAAAATTACCCAACACTAGTGCAACAACAGCTGTTCACGCCGTTTTTTTTGTAGCTCGAACGGACTCCTTTTCTAGCTCAAATTCAAATTGTGTGTCAATATATTTGTTGAGCTCTTTTTGCCTGCCGAAGCAAAAGCGGATAGTAACGACCGTCTCTGACAAAGAAGAGCGTAAAAATGAACAACAAAAATGTGAGAGCCCATGCCATCGATACCAATCGATAGCAAGCTATCGGCTAACGGTGAGCGCCACTAGTGCTCTTTCTGTCGCTGCTATATCTGCAGTGCTTTTAAGCACTGCACGCAGAGTTGTATTTGGCATAAATCACTCGCGCACACGCGAGCCGCAATTCAAATCTCAAACTTTACACAACTGCATTTTGTAAGGATATTTATTCGAAGCGTATGAAAAAAAATGAAAAAAAAAAAAAAAATTATTTATATATGATTGTGTAGCGATGAGTGTTTGAGTATATAATGCGTGGTCCCAGTTAAGCTCAATAGTAACCATAATGACCATGATGATAAGGATTATAGCCATGATGGCCGCCGTAGTAGGGCGCAGCGTGATGCACGTACTCGTAGCCGCCATAGTAAGGCGTGGCCAGACCATAGCCGCCATAATGTCCATGTCCCAGTCCATAGCCGCTATAGCCATGGCCGTAATGTCCATAGCCAAAGCCGTAGATGCCGCGCTTCTCCGTCTTCTTCTCGCCCAGCGTCGACTCCAGCTCAGTGTCAGGCGCTGCTCCAGCTGCTGCGGGCTCAGCAATGGCCGCCAGGCAGCCCGTTAGGCACATGGCCAACACAACGAAGACACACTGTAAAATGGTATTACCAATTAGTCCTGCTCAGCTTCTGCTGGTGACTCCTGCTCCTGCTTACCAGGAATTTCATGATGAGGATTTTTACTTAAGTGCGGCTCGTTTTGCTAAGGATGCGATGGCTGCAGCGGCTGAGCTGATTTGTTGATGGTTGCCAGTTGGCGCAGCGTATTTATAGTTGCTTGCTACAGTTTGCAATTATGCAAAAAAAAAAAAAAAAAAAAAAAAACGAAAAATGTATGAAAAAAAAAAAAAAAAAAAAAAAAAAGAAGAGATAAAATAATAACAATAAAGTACAAAATAGAGAAAAGAAAAAAATACAATAACAACAAGCTCTAGCTGCAGCGATTGTTGCATTTGATGTCGTATTGAATGCTTGACGGCCTCTGCTGCGACGTCGCTGCTCGGCTCTACAGTAATAACTCCACAAGCAAACTGCTGTATTAGTCATGCTTATTGTCAAGCTTAGATTAGGATTTCGGCTGTTGCCTGCATGAATTGGTTCGAGCTCTACAATCCCTCGAACTGATTTGCCTACACTTCAAAATTGATGGATTTAAATGCTTTAATAAGTTTCCCAATTATTCAGCTTCCTTTTAAATTAAATGATTGGATAAATAATAATAATACTGGCAATAGTCAGTCTATTCTGGCCTATTTCGACTTTTTTTTTTTTTTTTTTTTTGCTGTATTCTGGAGTCTTGGTTCGATTCGGTATAGTTTGGCTTATGTAGAAGTTCATGTATTTTTCCCACAGATATCTATTTAATGTTTCATTTACATCATCAATTAAATTACAGCTATATTTTTGCTCTATCTACAGTGAACCTTACTGTCTGCCCATGCCAGTATGTGATCACTGTATACAAATTTTTTAAAACTTTGATAAATACGAAGGAAACTTGAACTAGCGAAGAGACTTTCTTAAAGTAAGTTTTTTTTCCTTTTTTTTTTTTTTTTTTTTTTTGACCACTGTACTAATAGCTCAATTTGGAAACATTCTTAGAAGTTGCTTTAAATACTAGTCCCGTTTAATAAAAAATAACTTCTTAATATTTAAACACAGATTTTTAGCTAGTTCGCTCAAGCGAGTGCTTACTGTATTGTCGGTTCGTGTCGCTCCAAAACTATACTTAGAACTGCCTTTTATAAATGCGTACAAATGAAATAGGAGTGAACGGAACAATGCTTATTTTGGCAGCCGGTTCGTTCAAGCGTGTGTTCACCGTATTCTAACATCGGCACGATACGAAAACCTTATAACATATATAAATAGAGCAGATATTAGAGTACATGTATAAAGCTTTTAGAAACTTATTTTGCAGATTGTTCGCTAAAGTGTGTGCACACTGTACCCGTAGTTTGATTCGATTCGGCTAGGAAACATTTTCCCTAGCCATACTGAGATGTGGGCAAACGCTTCTCAATCATTCATTCATTCTGTAGCCGGTTCGCCTAAGCGTGTGCTTACTGTACCTCATCGTTAGCCGGTCCCAAAAAGGTCAGTCATAGCTACAGTCGCAGTCCTCAGCGCTTGGCCCAAGTGGGCGTTGCAACTAACGTTTCCACTGGTCGCTCAACCCCCACTGCTCGACCCACCCTGCCAGCCGCCCCCTGTCCGCCCCGCCCACTTAGAATCATGCATCGGAGATTGCATGAAGTGAGATATGTCTGTGAGGCAATAGCCAAGACGGAAGCCGGTCGCGTAAAGTGGGAGTTGTTGACACAGTTAATACCCGCTAAATGCGATCGGGTGTCGCTTTCACTTGCAATGCGATACGCCGGCCGCTGCTGCAACATGCAACACGCAACACGCCCCACGCAACACGCAACATGCGACGCGCAACATGTTGACAAACCGAGCCATATAGATTACAACTGACTGGCAGAAGTGGGCGTGGCAAGTCAAATGCCAGAGACCCCGTGGGAAAACGGCAATCGCGCCGGCAATTGTTAGCAACAATTGCAAGCACGCTTTTGTTGCTGTTTGTTGTTGTTGTTTGCAATGTTCGCCTGCCTTTGCTTGTCTAATTAAGTCAGCAGCAAGAAGCAAAGCAGTTAATAAACCTTTCACGATCTACCGATACCTTGAAAGCGTTCTACAACAGATATTCATCATTCAGCGAAATCTTTTCGAATTGTGCTCAAAATCTATTTCAGATACCCTAGCAGAGTGGGGCTTATGGAGTGCTTCGAATTGGAGGATCGCGTTTGGTAACCAAAGATTTACTACTGACCCACTCAATTCGAATCTTAATCTGGAGTCGAGCCTGAATTTGAAAGTAGAGAAACTAGAAATCCGTCATGCCCAATCTGTGGCCACAGTTGAGCTCCTTTAACAATGCTAGTTGAAACTTTCAAGTGATGCTTTTCTTAGAGTCATTCAAGATCAAAGAGTGCAGGAAGAATGAACGAATAAGAGGGAGAGAGAGAAAGCATGGAATGAATGAGAGCGAGGTGAAGCTAGGTGTCCCTATGGCAAGCGATAAGTAAATTTAACAAAGTTTTCTCGGCGACTAAGAACGATTTTTCCAATACCTTAAAACTTTTTTAGGACTTTGAGCTATCAAACTTGACTTTTTTTTAAATCATTGTGGTTTGATTTTAATATTTTGAAATAGACCCAAATGTCACATATTTTGCAGTTTTAGGTATACATATATTATATCAATGACTATACTTATATATTTCATATAAACAATAAAAACAATATTATTTTAATACATATGAAATCATACTAAAATGAAGACCAAATACTTTTTTTTTTTCGGATATAAATCTAAAACTACTTGTCTCCTATATCTAAACTAACTTATGTCTCTAATTTCATTATAGGTTTCACGTCAACTTGAAAGCCAAAATAATTTCATAAGACATTGGTATACAGATGTACATTTACATATATGTACGTACATATGTATGTATATCCAAAGGGACTAAATTGACATTTGAAGGGATAATATTATGTAGTTTCCTATTTGCCACGCCTTCGGTCGGCATATCATATAGAACTTAAAACTAGACAAGCGTTGCATAAAGCCAATATACTCTTTCATTTTTTAAGAAAGCAAAATAAGTAACAAATTTGAATTCTTATCGAAATAATCCGAGCTGCACGATTTCTTCTCTAATGTCTAGCCAGAGGCTAGAGAGCAGAGGACAGAGGGCAGAGTGTAGAGTGTTGAGGGTAGAGAGCCCAGAGGAAGCTAATCAAATGCAAAGAGACAATGAAGGATGGACGACCTTGACCGGATGTGGCGGGGGTGGGTGGGTGAGGTGAGCGAGGTAACTGCTGCATAGTAATTGCTTTTGTCTGATCAAACTGTGAATGAGACTAATGCAACAACAACAACAACTGCAACTGCAACATTGTTGAATGAAGCGCAGACAAAACGAGCGAACTGGCAATTGGCAACGTTTTTCACAAGCGGCTCCAAAGTGGGTGGGGCAGCATCATTGTCTACGGCTTGTTCATGTTTGTTTCACTACGTTTTCTTCATCTTCTCATTTTAATTTTGATTTTGCCTCAAGTTAATATTAATCAAATGCATATCGGATTGCCACACGTTAAGGTTAATGCACGCGACTCTATAAGCGGAAGTTGGCCTACAATTAGCCGAGTGTCACGAGTTTTGAGTGCGTGACACGAGCTAAATACATATGTTGGMCAAAGTTGTAAATATATAATTATA